TCTAGCAAGTCCACGTTTCTGAGGCTGTGTGGCAAAAAAATAGATCCAAGGCCTATCTCCAGTCTTTTTTAAAGTTTGAAAATTGTACGTTTTAAAACTTGGAGCGATTGAAAGAGACTGAAACAAAAGGTTGCACCTTTCCTAGTTTTTTTTTTTTTTGTGCTTTGTTTTAGACATATATACTGAGGTATCTGCAATTTGCACTGTATTATGCACAAATTTGCAGTTATAGTAACACAGGGAGCCTCAGATTGCTATTGTGTCCACTTAACAAAGATATTCTGGGTGTTCTGGGGTGGGGAATGTAGTTTTCCATTGCTGTAATTCTGCTAGCCTTCACACTTCTCATTGGAGGTCAAAAGTGTGCATCTGGCTCCCTCCAAGTGGTGTTGTTGATAGTTCTCATATGTTACTAGGCTGAGCTTATGCAGAAATTATTTCTGAAGTGGATGTCTAGTTTGATTCTTACCCTAATGAGCAGTAAGTGTCAGGAGACTGGTACGGGTCTGCTGCGAAGTTGTATCACTTACTAAGATTGGGTATTCTTACAGTTGTAGGGCTCTTCTCTTGTGGTATTTGGATGTTTGGCTTCTCTCCACTTTGGCTAATAATTGAGGTAAAAATTGAAAGGCAAAGGAGTTCAGTTCTCAGCTTGTTCAAGGAATCATATGGTTGTGGCACCATAGGATTCCAAATATTGGCTGTGACAGGAAAATGTAAAAAGGAAATAGAGATGCAGTTTGAATGAAGTATTGTCTTGTACAGAGGATAAACGGAAGTTCAGTGATCCTCCATAAATTCACCTTTGTTTTTAATGCTTATTCAGTACACTTACCTGCTGCACTGGATGAAGTTTTATTTTTTTAGGCACAGCTTGACTTAAAGTCTTAACAAAATTTGTGTATAGCAGAAAAATCCTATGAATCTCCAGTAGCACATCATATGAATGTACTTGGTTGTAGAACTTGATGAATTCAACAAGATCCATGTCTTGATAAAAGCGTTTCCATGTTTTTTGGAAGTGTTTCTGTTGCAGCAACTGTGGAATTTGCCCTAAGCTAAATGCTAGTCTGGCATCTCATCAAGTGGTTTCACCTTTTCATTTAGTTTTAGGATTTAACCTCTTAGCAATTCTCTGTGAATATAGTGGTTCTGTTTCATGTAGAGATTTAAAATATTTATTATTCTCTTCTTAGTCAATAATCACTATTCCTCCTGCAGGCACCCTGTGGAACTTATCCTCCTATGAGCCCCTGAAGATGGTCATCATCAACCATGGTCTGCAGACGCTTACCAATGAGGTGATTATACCTCATTCAGGCTGGGAGAGTGAGCCAAATGAGGACTCTAAACCTCGTGACGCTGAGTGGACAACAGTCTTCAAGAACACTTCTGGTTGCTTACGGTAAGGCAGAACTGTGCATTGTTAATCTGTTCACCATGGCCTGTGTTCAGGATTTCACTTACTTTATTTCAAATACAAATAATTTATCGTTGTCTTTCATTTTTGCAGAGATATTCCCATTTCAGTGGCCACAATAGCAATGCTTGGAGGTATTTGCCTCTCATGGACTCTTTTGTTGCAGGGTTTGTCAAGGTCCAGTGTGAAGAGTAGATCATTTATCCAGGGTTAAGGGGAGTGGTCTGTATAAGGTGGTGTGTTAATACAGTGGTGAAACATCCAGGTAACATTAACTGCCAAGCTAAGTTAAAAAAAAAAACAAAACAAAAAAAAACACCTGCAATTTTGCAATGCAAACTGAATACTGAGAATCACACTTTCATTTTTCTGTTGTACTGTGATTGACAGGCTCTAGCTACGCATTTTGAGTACCTTCTCTGATTCCTTTGATGGAGCTGTTTTTATTTATTTGAAAAGTATTTTTTCAGGTAAATCCCTTCTTGGTTTTAAGTTATCTTGTATCAAAAGGCGTTTTTTTTGCAGATGCTGGGGAACTGGTTTCATGGATATACACTGAGCCTAAAACATGGATCGAGTTTTAGCCACAAACATCTTTGTGGCTACTCTCCTACTTTATGCTAAAGTGACTAAGGACCTACAGGAAATTAGTGAAGAAATTGAACTACTGACCATATAGGAAACCGTTTCTAATATTCCTTGCAAAGGAGCCTTTCTTGTTTAGAAACTCTATTTGCATTTCGGAGAGCACCTCAACAGTAGGACAGGAGATTCTAGAAGCTGGGGTCAAAAGGAGTCCTAATGCAGACTGAAGAACCAGTATTCCCTAAACACAGGGTCTTAAATTTGTTTTTCTTCAAGATAAAATAGTGGAGATTCACTGTTAGATTCTCCAGCTTTATGATGAAGTCAATTACTCTGAACCGAACTAATAAAGATTTGGCATCACACCTTCTGGTGCTCTGAATTATGCTTGGGCCAGATTGCTACTGATGAATCCATCTTCACAAGTTAGTTTATTTCTGTTTCCTGGGCTTGTGCTCTTTAAATTGCAGTAACTAGTCCCCAGAGTAACTTCAGAAATGAAGAAAGCAATGAAAAGTGTTCTGAAAGGGCCCATTGCTGAAATTATTTTTAGTCCCACTGGAAGAAAAGGTCCTTTAAGTAGGTTCCAGACATGATAGTTTTTTACTTACTGGTGTCTCATATTCTAATGGTGTTCTGCAAGATGAAATTAGTCACGGTGGGGGATAAAAGGATTATCTGAATGAATATGGGATTCTCCAGTAAGTGAGACAATAATTTGATCATTAGTAGACTGACTTCATCCACATAATAAATTTTTTATTAGTATGTGGATCCACTTGAACTTCTACATTCCAGGACAGCTTTGGGATTTTTTGTTGTTGTTGTTGTGGTGTGTGTTGTTTTTTTATTTTGAAGTAAAGTACTAGCTTTACAGCAGATGCAAAAGCTTGTGCTCTTTTGGACATTATATTCTTAAGGCTAATGATGAAGAGCATGGAGCATAGTAATACTGACATGTATTCATTAAGAGAATGTGAAGTTCTGGTAGTCAGGTGATACTGATGCACTTCAAATGGGACAGGACAGCAGCCAGTGAATGATGGCTGCTTCTGTTCTTGAAGTGGGTAAATGTGTTTCAGTCTTTTCATGTACAGTCATAGTCAGGTGGGATTATGTGCTTCCTAGTGGAAAATTTGAAGCTTCAGTCGGATGTGGGGCAAGGTCATTTCATGCTTGAAAGTGGTTGCTTTAGGTAAATGGAGACATGATGGCAGGTTAGCAGGAAATAATAATCTGAAAAAGGTAGTTAGTTCATGTCTCTCTGATGTGCCATGGAGAGAGCAACCTCTTACACAGGAAAGGGAGAGAACCAGCTTGCTGTCTCCTTACTACTTGCAGTGAGATTAAGTAATTCCAGGACAACGAAGATGGAGTAGGTAGGTGAGTGATGAGCTCTCTTGATAGTATTGCTTGTTACAATATCAGTGATGTTACATATTTTTTGTAGAGCGCTTCCAGATCCAGGGATAGTAATAGGCATATCAAAAGTAATTATCACTATTACTTTTGGAAATAATTCTGCATTTTGTCAAGATCCTCTTCAGCCTAGCCTTAAAAGCACCAGCAAGATAAGATAACTAACACCAGCAGAAAACAAACCATTGCAACCACCTGCCTGACACATGTCAGTGTTTAAAAACCCCTTTGTCTGCTCTTCTCCTGTTGACACAGTAGCTAGTCCTGGAAATTCAATTTTCCATGAGTGGAGCTTACTGCAGACTACAAACTGCTTACCAGTTTGAATTTAATTGAGAGATTAGTCTTGTTGATGGTGTGCCAGCCTCCTTTGTCCCTTTGGAAGCGTGCCTCAGGTGTGTGCTGTGTTGTCTTCCAAAACAACTAAGAGAATCTTTGAACTGCAGAGGTTTCAGATGTCCTTGCAGTTTAGGTATCTAAGCAGAAGAGAGGCATTATGCATGCAGGGCAGATTAATTTTGGTATCATTTTTTCAGTTAATGAAGTTTATCAACAGATGTGGGCGAGTTTGTTTCAAACTCAATGATTCACAGCATGAACTGCCAGTTAATTATTTGCCTTTTTTTTTAACACTCCTTTCTCATCTCTGCTTTCTTCGTAATCTAGGTCTTTCCTTTGATAATGTGGAGCTTTGGAAACGCTTATTTGAAAATAATTGAAAACAAGTGATTTAAAAAAAAATCTCACATGAAGAAAACCAATGCTTATTTACCTTTACCTCTTCTTCAAATCCCAGTCCATTCCATTTCCCTTTCTTGTCAACAGTACCCTTTTTCCTGTCTGTAATTTTTCTCTCTTCCCCCCTCACTTGGGGAGGTCAGGTGCTGATGTTTGTCCAGGTCTGAGTAAACCAGTATGACTTGTGTCCTACATAGTCAACTTGCCCTGCGCATGCCAGAGAGTGGATGAACGTCTGATATTAGCAGCACAGGTAGTGTAGTGCTGCAGGTGTACATGGGATGGAAGGATGCTTTAGCAGAGGGGTCAGTAATTTGGGCCAGTATATTAGCAGACTTCTCTACTTGCACCAGAGTTGCTTTGCTTGGGAATTAACTTTGCAAGATAGAGGCATGATCCTTGCACTCTTTTGCCCCGTACCCGAAGATAAAGTAGCTTGCTGGCTTTGTATAGCTCTGATTTCTACCCAGTTTCTGGAGTAACAAAAACCCATTTGTGGCACTTGATATTGATTTCAGTCTATATGGCCAAAGGAACGTTCCAAAAGAATTGCCACTCAGGAATGGATCTGTTGAAGCCTCTGTTTGAGAAAGCCCTGTGGATGATACTGAGTAACATTTGACCTGGTCATTTACAAGCTGGAAATTGGAGAAACTGTGCAAAGTTTATCATCAAGAAAGCCATTCGAATAGTATCTTTTTTGCCATGAGTTAAATAACTCTGGGATTACCTGTGATACTTAAGTGATGTCCATACCAAATTACCACAGCTAACTGACCATGTATGTGTAGCCTGTAAGTATCAAAAGAGAAGGCAACTGCTTAAGGCTTATACTGAGTTTGAGACCAGTGTTTATTTGAAAGGCTCCTTCTAAAGTCAAACCTTCTCCCATGGATGTGGCTGTTGTAGGGACCTTTTGAATCTTGCTATCATCTGGAACATCACAAGTGGATTCTGTATGCCATCCCACTCCAATTTTCTTGCCAAAAACTGTCTTCACACAAATGTTTGGGGCATCCTGTATTCCACTTTGCAAAATAAAGACTTTACAGCCAGCTTGCGAACTATGATCTGATAATGAAATTTATTTTATGCTTTTTTGTAGTCTTTACCAAGAAACACTAAATTTTTCAGAAATTAGTGTAGATGATGGGAATAATTTTGTCTCTGTCCTTGTCCTGACATCAGAAAAAAGATATTTCCACATACATTGTTTCACTTTGTTTCTAGGGACAGACCCAATATCATGAGTGGATCTGTAATAATTATACTACATAAAATGGTCCTGAGTCTTGTAATAGATGCTATCTTGGGTGTAACTTGTAAATTTATAAAGTGAAGGTATTCCTATATTCTGTTGAACGTGTTGAGAGAAGTTAATAAGGTAGTAATCTGGAAAGGAAGAGGAAAAAAGCAAAAATTGCATTACTGGAATTAAGTGGATTTTTGGCTATGGATAAGTAGGACTGGAGAAGTAAAGAAGACATTTCTTAGGAGAATTATTAAATATGCATAGATATACCTTTATTTCATTTGGCATACAAGTTTAATGTCTTTGCATTATATTTTATTCCTTTAGGTATGTGGAGAATGTCTATTCTGGTTACTGTCTTTTTTTATTTCTTTAAACCCCTAAATCCCTCCTGGGATTTGCAACACAGAAGCATTCATTTTTAAATTGTGCTCTTCTCCAGTTTAAATAATGTAATGATGTGGTGCATCTTAACCAGGCCATTTCATGACCCTTTCCACAACTTTGACCCAGACATTAAGGTGCTTTGGGAGAAGAGTACACATTGAACTGCTGGTGGGATTGGTGGAGCTCATGTTTGCTCATACGCACCCAGGCAGTGCCCAGAGACCTTTGCTCTGCTTCCAGGTTTCTCCTACGGTGCTTTTCTGCTTTAGAGAGGAAATGTCACATCTCTGGGTCAGAAAGCACTGCTGCTGTCACATTATCATTTTTGTTTTCTGTTTAGGTAACCACTAAGATTCCTAGTTCTCTGGGAGCAGCAAGGATTTTAATGGTTTGAAACTGAAATTCATTCCAGGCTTAATTGCTGTTTTCTGCCTAATTACTTTTAATTCTCCCTTGGATTTTTTCACTTCTAAGAGGACAGAGTAGAACTTAGTTCCTAAATTGCCAACTTTCTAGCCTGATTCCTGTGCTAAACTGACCTGCTGTCAACAAATGTTAAATGAATTAATTTGCATAGCAAACAGATGCAAAGTGCTCCTTTTTC